TGACTGTACACTTGTGTCAGAAGGAAATATCCAACAAACAACGTTTTCCTCGCCATGTACAAGTACGCAGCCACGCCTCCTCTATCGCTGAGATGTGCAGTGTAATTCCAAACTACAGGCATTAAACCAAATTTACATACAGTATTCCACGCGCAAAGCATGTTTGTTCAAAGTAGTATACATCACTCCGTTTTAGAAGAAATGCCGAGCGACTATTTGACCTGATGATCGGAGAACTTTACTAGAGGTCCCTCTAGAACTTATAAGAACCGAAAATGTCTATTTTATTAACTTACAGTGATCTCGAAGGTAGACAGCGAGTGTGGTTTTTGGATCAACGTGATTCTCCTCTACTCGGTGACCGTTTACATAGAAAATTAGTGTGTTGTGTTCGTACAACGTGATGTCGTCCACGTCTTTGGAAACAACCATACCTTAACAGAGTTTTTCAAAGAAATGGGTATGACTTTGGGGGCAGTTCCCCTAGTGCGGCATTTTCGCGAAGTCCCATCGACATTTCAGCAAATGATACGGACGTTATGACACGCAACGGAGTGACAGACTTCCCGCCTTTTAGCCCGTCAACCAAATCTACGGTTGTGGTTGGGCGCTGACCAGTACTTGTGAAATGCGTCATACATCTGCCTTCCATCATGTACCCCATAAACGCCTGAGGGCTAGCTCGAGCTTCAAGAAGGCTTCTTAGGTTGCCATTCGCCTTTCATATGAGAATAGAAACTTTGGAAGGGAGAAGTGTGCTCAAACTAGGTGAAGGGCGTCTCCCAATTTAGCGTTTGGATACCACACGTGCGCTCACAAGAGGCGAAGAGATGGTGCAGCCTCGCTTACCAGTCCAGAGGCCCAATTCCGGACCAACTGAGCCTCCTGCCCTCTGGGGACGGGGTTGGTACCAGTTTCGTCTTGGAGGTCAAGAACATTGACTTCTACACCAGTACGCTCCTGTCAGCGATTGTATATTCCGTAACGCATTCAATAAGCCACTACGAGTCTGAACGGAAATAGAATGCGTGCCACACAGCTTATCTTTTATTATTTTTTGTAGCCTCACAAAAAAAATTTACTGTTTTTACGCGACATTCTCCATATCGGACTAAATGCCGAGAATGGCATCGACGTCTGATAAATAGTTCTTCGATTTCATAGCCCAGGCTTTCTAGATGGTGCTATACGGGGACTACTTGGAGTAAGAAGAGATGCTTCGTTTGCAGTGTAAAGTTCGACAGTCTTAATTGAAAGAAATTTCCTCCATCGAGATGAAACATACCTTATCGAAGCCTTATTTTGCGGGATGTGAAATGATTCTACGATGGGTTACATCAAAGTTGGGAGGGGTTTTGAAATTGCTTATGAGGGAGTTTTCTCCAGTTTTTGACTCTCGCTTTTTTTTCCTGCTTCTCGTTCGCTATATATTCCCCTCCCCTGCAGAATTACCCTACAAGTATTGTTTTTTGATGCTTGACTTTGGAAGTTGATTGATGACGACCCCTTACCGCGCTCGACGACAGTCTTGTGAGAAAAAAACTGGAGAAGGCTAGAAGATTTTGAAAAGTGGTAGCAAGTTGAGAAAATTGGGGAAAAAGATGAAAGAGTAAAATTTGGGTAAAATAGGGAAGGGAACCTTGTCAGATTAGAAAGTTTTGCGAGGTCGTGCTGACACCGCTATCTCACACATCAAAAAACTGTGCCCTGCCAATGATTGTGGCACCCCAAGCTGTAGTCGTGGTCCCTGCAAACGAAAGGGCGGAAGTTGGTTCGCAGCCAAAATCGCCCTTCCCGCCAATTGTTGCGGGCTCAATATGGCGTCATGATGGAAAGATCGTCTTGGCAGCACTGCAACCCTCGGACCGGTTGGGCGCATTATCGTTTGCAGGTATCAGAGCACCACAACAGTCTGCAGGAGATTCCCTAGAGAATGGGGGGGGGGGGGGCTACGTACCTTGATTAACGTGGCACCTGCTGGCTGCTCATCTGATGGTATATCGTCGTTTCAAGACTAGTCATATCTTTGCCAACATAGGATCACAGCTGCCTCAAACTCAACAAACATCATAAAAACCATGTTCAGACGAAGCACCTAGCCACGCCCTCCCTCATATCCGGGGTATGGGGTTTACAAATGCGAGGATTAGCCCAAATATTGTTGTATTTGTTAGATAAGGCTGCGAAAGCGCTTCGTAGTCAAACTAAAACTGAAGCGAAATTCCATAGGAGACAAAGAACTGCAAGGATACTGTGCGTTCCGATAATTCCACTTTTATAACGGGCCACATTTCAAGGAAACTGAACGGTACGTAGCCACGTGACCGTAGTTATTTGAAAGTCATGTTAGCAAACATGGAATGTCCATAATACGAATATAAAGATAAGGGTGCAGAAATAAGATGGTTGGCTGCGAGTCTGAATGAACAAGTACCAAATGATATCGCAATCAGAATAACACAAAAGGGCAAAGAAATTAGGTTATTCATAAATCGCCAGGTTGTTTTCAAATAGTGGAACGGCAGTAGAAGTATATAAGCGAAATATTCTTCAAGTATCAAAAAATGAGGAACTCCCGGATAATTCTATAATCGGATTCTTCATTTTTCCAAATTAGGCGGCCTTCTAGATAAGTCGCATTTTCTGGATTTCAGTGGTGTGGGGGAAATATCACATCTACTTGCTAGATACGATCACTTGATAACAATCGTTTAAATTGGAGTAATCAGGACACTATGAAGTGTAAAATGGCGGCGCAGACTGGTCGCTATATTATCGTCTCATATATCAATTTTCCTTTCGCAAAGCGATCATACACCTTTCAAAAGGCCACGTGAACAGGTCGCTACTCCGCCAGTGGTGATACGGTAGACCGCAGTACCCTACAGTTCAATGACCAGTGACCTGGCGTTGTAACAGGTTTCAGCGTTCGAATAATATTTCGAACACGTTTCGCAATAAGCTAAGGCTACAACTCATAAAATGCGTCAGATGATCCGCTAAGCGATTGTCTAGGTTGTACGACATTCGAAAAGTGAAAATTTGCAAGAATTCCGGTGCGAGCTGAGCAGGCAGATGAGCACCCATCAGGCCCATGCCAATGCCCTAGTAGCTACCAGCTACTATCCAGTATCTTTTCTACTGGCTCTCCTCATTCCGAATGGTGAGAGTGAAGTGATGAAAAAAGAGCTGTTATCGTTATGATAACAACAAGTGAGAATCCGTACAAACACTCTTCTGTTCACTGTATGCAGGCACAAGCAAAGATCGGTAGGGGGTCAAATAAAGGGCATCCCCGACGGTTGTGGCTGCTGAGTTACAGGCTAAAGACCTTCGTTCCTCCCACAGGTTCTTGTTTTCTATAACAGTCATTAAAAGGATAAAAAGGATAAAGTCTTCGCCGTTGATCAATCCCTTTGTGGGATGCGGCACGCATTCTACTTCCATTCAGAATCGTAGTGGCTTATTGAATGCGATGTGGCCTATACAATGACTTGCGGTGGCCAGCCGATGTACAAGTCAGTGTTTTATCCTCCCAGACGAATCTGGTACCAATTTACCGTCCCCGGAGGGTAGAAGGCTTGGTTGGCCTGGGCGGGTGTCGACCTGGTTCGAATCCCAGTGTCGACCTGGGATTCGAACCCAGGACCGCGCGAATGGTAAGCGCGCCACTTGTCACTACACCACCTCCGCCATAACAGTCATTGGCCCAAGTAGTTAGAACAGTCAGATATGGTAATGCAGATAGCAGACGGTCTCACCCACACCTCCCTGACAGGTGCTTCCGACAAATGAGACCTTACAACTTACAATAACAATCATGGACTTGAAAGACAGAACTCTCGATGAGCCAGTGGAAAAGTTCACTTGAAGCATCTACGAGCTTTCAAAATGAAGCATTCGGCCTAGTTGACCCGCTTATGACCGCTACCAGTACTTACAATGTTCCGTTTGCAAACTTGCTACAGGGTTTATGGTTTCTACTTTGTTCCCTTCAAAGCGGCCCGACGCGCTATATTTATATTGATGGATCGTGCCGGCCTGCTTTCAAACCCTAATTTCGAGTGACATTAACAGCGTGCGTCAACTTCGGAGGCTACAGTGCGTTTGTGAATTTTAGGGATGAAGGTCAAACAGCGCGCATTTTTTTTCGGTGCTCGATGGGAAGTGGCGGGACCTATCTTATCTGTGTTGCTCACCTGTGAAGCCTCTGAAACCAGCACCTCTCACAAGTTGCATGTGGGTGACTAACTCTGCAGCATAACTCTTTCTCGTGAGACCCTATCCGCTTCCAGTGCAACTACAACGAATGTTTGTGCACATATAACGCGGGCGTCGGAAGAAGGTGTCCGGTAACAGCTGACTTAGGCCGGCCTTTAGAAGTGGAGGGATCCCGAAGTAAGAGCGACGAGTTCCATGACAGAGCAGCAGCAAGCAGGACTTTGGTTCAAAGAAATGATATAGGGGTGGAACAAGTCACTGATTTCTGAGTGACAGAAAATCGCAGCTTTGATAGGAGCTGGAAGCGACAAGTTGACATGGGGAAATCCGCTACGCCACATAGTCACAATGTGATTAGTATGAACAAAGTATCAGGTTCTCAGCAGTTTGAGCATAACTCCTCTCTATTGCCTTATCAGTAGTGGCACCGTACAGGACAGCTGGAGTAACTGGATTTCAGATGCATGGTGGTTGTTTACAGTGATGTCATAAACAACAGCATATGACTTTTGACTACTGCTGTGATTATCTTTCATGAACAACCTTAGCGAGAACCATTCTGAAGCGCCCCCATGGGGCATGAGAGCACGTGTTTGGAGCACCACTAGGAACAAGGTTGCATGATACTTGGCGGTGCTCTAGCTGCAAGGGAAGTAAGCAGCCTCTGGTTTGACGATCGCTTGGGATCCGTATGGGTTACAGAGCTATTTTGGGCGCTAACTCGGAGAAAATAGCGAACGACAGGAAAGGTTGTGGCGGCACCAGAAGGGATCCAACGCCCCACAAGATACTTCCCCTTACTGACGGTGAGGGATACGTGTGGTGAGCGCAACAGCGTGGCGTTAGATAAATTGGTTGCAACTGAATTAGAAAGAATGGGCCCTTCTGCTAACTCTTGGTGAAACGAGCTACGCGTATATAAAATACAAGCTCCGCCTACTGTGGGCATGTCTCAACAAGCCTCGTGCATGCTCAACCCTCGCCAAATGTTGTCCTTCTGCATCGACATTTTTGCGATTTCTAAAGTCTCTCAAGAATCGAGTGACTGAATTTTGTGGGAAGCACTGCCTATCTCAAGTACGCCGTACCCGTTTCAGGTGTGTCTCCCCTAACTAATCTGACAACTCCTTGCTAACCCAATCCATTCGTCTGCGGCACCGCCGACTTTGGCCGCGTGGGGCGCTTCGCGCAGGTCATATGTGCTCATTACT